CCCCTTGTCTATTTTCGTTTCTTAATCTTTAATTAGGAAAACGTCCTTCAACAAGTCTAAAAAGTCTTAACATACCTTAGATGCCGAACTTGTGCCACGAATCTTTTAAGATTTTTCCTTTCCTTTTCGCAAGGTTTCAGAACGTTCCCAATCTACCAATTTTGCAATATTCGTAAGTAAGCAATTTTTGTAGACATTCAAATTATTATATGTCTATCATAGACGCTAAAACTCGCTCATATTTCCAATCAAACTCCAAATCTTGCTATATAGTGGTATGCCAATTTTTTTCATGCTTGCTAAATTTCAAGCCTAGTGTTAAGCCTCAACTCCTATAAATATTATGAATTTAAGGATACTCATGTAACACGATACCACCAAAAATTGGTTAGCTATACCCATAAACTTCGAGGAGTATTACTATATGAAAGTTAAATAAAAGAATAATTCAATAAAAATAAAAGAAAAAGTTTAAGACGATAAATAAATTAACTGTAACTTAACCAACGAAACAAAACATTATTTTAGTAAATAATGGCCATGGGATTTTGCAGATTCCATATATGCAAACATGGCTGTTGCCAATGATTACATCAAATCATTATTTAATGATTACCTTTTATGATTAAAATAAACAAAATTTTCTTTCCTATTCTAATTCAAATAACTTTATCATTCTTTAACTTTGTTCCACCCTTTGCCAATTCAGGGGAATGTCACCGCCAAGTGCATCTGCAGCTATCGTTACCATGTCCACCCTTTTCATATGCTTTTTTTTTTCTTCCCAATCTAAACAATTTAGTCACCTAACTGTATATTCACGCTAACAAAAACCTCACATTAATTGTTGCTAAAACTTTTCATCACCCACATCACAACCTAACATAACTCATGCGGTTCCTTGTTCCTCCCGCCAATACCATTAACATAAAGAAATAGGATTTACTTTCGGTAATAAACAAAAACATTACATGAGCATTATAAAAATTCATATAAAAATTGAAGAATTTCAGGTGCTTACCAAGAACCACCGTAAACCCTTAGCCAACCGCTGCTCTTTGCCCTATTGTATTATTTTATTTTATTTTTGAGTTATGACTAACAGATTATTGACCCCTCTTTACTTAAGCTTAATTTCATGGGCCAAAAAAAAATATTTCTGAATTGAATTATAAACTAGGCCCACTAAATATTAACTATATTAATTCTTCACTAAAATTTTATCAACTAAATACTCTTATTCTTCGAATAGTTTAAAAATAACCCCTTTAAATTTTCAAAAGGAGTCGAACTAGTCCTAGTTCTCAAAACGACCTAGCGGGTCGTTACAGTTCGGGGCAGCGACCCGACCTAAATTTTAGGCTTTCCTATTTTTTCTCTATTTATTCTCTATAACCAAAAATACTCTGATTTATTAACATATAAATATACCTCACCGCCGTGGAAGTTTACTTACGGGGTGTTACCACGAAATATTGGGTTTTCTCTTTATCTCTCTAAATCTCTCATCTCTTTCTCTTGAAAGTCCTTGTGTTCTTCATTCATCTAGTGTGTGTGCGTGAATTCGATCCTAACACAAAGTTCTTCAAGTATCCTATTCTCTTTTTGAAATTGAATGGATTATTTAATACTAACAGAAGAATAAAAATGAACCAACACCAAGAAAGACATAAAAGGATTAGCTCGAAGAGCTATACAAGGTGAGGTAGGTTTGCAAAAGTAGGCCAGAAAAAAAATAGGTTTACTCTCAAGTCGAAAAAGAGGTGAAATATGCCTATGTTTTCAATAAAAGCAATTGTTTTGAATTAAGAAAAGAGTCTAACTGAACTTCAGGGAAAATCTCTGTGAGATAATAGCCAGAAATAAATGTTACGACTTATAACTGAAGACAAGAAAGAAACAAATTACGAGCAGAAAAAAAGCAACAGAAGACAACACAGTCAAGCTAGATGAAGTTCCAATTCCAGTACTATACTTGGCAATGGATGCTATACTAAAAAATGCATCATAAATCGCACGCACACACCAAGCACACAAGTTATAACTTTTCAGAACATCATACAGACTCCAGGTAGGGTTGAGATTCATAGTTTTTCATATTTTCCAAGCCAAGCGAGGAGGATTCTTAATTTGAAAGATGCTCACAAAACATGAGGACAGAATAACGAATTCACCAATCAGAAAAAAGAGAAGAATTTGTTTCTCATGAAACATACAAAATAGAATATTGGAGAAATACTCAAGCAACATCTAAAGAATCAGATTCTGAAGTCGCAAAAAAAGTCCAGTACTTTAATTTATGCTACGCTTGTGCTAGTCCAGAAACAACATTGATACATAGACATAGGAAACACATTCAAACAGTTGTAAAAGAAATACAAAAACAGCATTGATACATAAACATAGGCAGAACATTCAAACAGTCACAGAAACAGTCCAGATACAGCATTGATACATAGACATAGGCAACACATTCAAACCAAGCTAGTGTTGAAGTGAAGAATAACAAAAATAATAAGCTCCATACCTTGATTGTTTTTGCTAAAAGATGGACGATTAAACGGTTTCATATCTTCTTGATTGAGCACCAAGCTAGTGTTGAAGTGAAGAATAAGAAAAATAATAAACGTGATTGAGCACCCAATGAGGCCAACGTGGCGGCATTCAATTGAAGTCCTGGGTGCATACGATTAATTCGTCAAAGAATATCATTTATAACTTCTTGGTGAATGGTGAATTTTTGTTGTTTTAATTTTTTCGTCATTCTTTGATGCATCCTCTCTTCTAATTCCTTCAATTTTTTTCCATCCTCTCATTATTAGAAGTTAAACAAGGTTCAGAAAGCGCTTTTTTATTTTCAAGTAGTTTTGGTAACTCATTGTCCATACAATCTCAGGCTCCCTGGGTGTTCCTTTGCCATGACTGTTGTAAAAGCATCAAATGATTGGCCGTCATATTCACTTTGTCGACCTTGCAGTCTCACCAACCAAATGGACAGACAAATGTTTCATTATATCAAAAAAGATAAAGGAAAAATATTTTCAAGCTCAATATACTTTCTTTGATTTCAATCTGCATTGGTTCAAGATTTTCTCGCCTTATTACCTTACTGCATATAGCTTTAAAGAAGTTCCCCAACCTAATCAAGGCTAATGAAACATTCTTCGGTAATCATTTTCGAACCGCAATTTGAATTAAGCAATACATTATAAAATAAGCATCATGGCTTTTGTACCCTAATATTTTCATCTCATCCACATCCACACGATCTGATATGTTTGAGGTAAATCCTTTTGGTAATTTTTCTTTCTTTAAGACAACGCAAAATAATCGTTTTCTTCAGGCTTCATGGTAAAACAAGATTTAGCTAAATGAGCTTTTCCCTTTGTATTATATTTCCTTGGATAAAGCTACTTTCCTATTCCCATTTCTTGCAAGTCATAACAAAAATTAATGTGATTTTTTGACTTTTCTGGGATATCTAATAAAGTCCCAAGCAAACTATCATATATATTTTTCTCAATATACATCACATCAAGATTGTGCCTCAACTTATTATGTTGCCATTATGTTAATTCAATAAAGATGGATCTTTTCTTCCATGGACCCTCATTATTTAAAAGTCTTTTTTTGTTGGCCTTCCCAAAACCATTACTGAAATCATGCAACTTTTCAAATATTTCTATGTCCGACAAGGATATAGGTGCAGGTCTATGATCCTCCTATCCATTAAAAGATGTTTTGTCTCTTCTAAATGGATGATCAGGAGGCAAAAAAGCCTGATGACCTAAGTAACGCATTTTACGACTATGTTTGAGATATTAAGAGCATGTGTCATAGTTACACGTGGGGCATGCTAATTTTTCTTAGTACTCCATCCAGAAAGCATTGATTGTGCTGGAAAATCACTAATTGTCCACATTAAAGCTGCACACATTTGAAATGTTTGATTTGTATGAGCATCATATGTTTCCATCTCGAATTCTCATAGTTCCTTCAATTCTGCAATTCATGATTGTAGGTACACATTTATATCCTGTCTAGGATATAATGGCCCCAGAATGATCATCGACAACATCATATACTCTGGCTTCATGCAAATCCATGGTGATAAATTATAGTTTACCAACATAATAGGTCACGTACTATGGAAAATGCTCATGGTCCGAAATGGATTGAAACCATCACTTGAAAGGCCCAATCAAAAATTACGAGGATCATTTGAGAAGTTTGGATGCATAGAATCAAAATCCTTCCAAGCTTCTCCATCAGCAGGATGCCTTAAATTCCCATTATTAGGTCATTCAGAATCATGTCATCTCATTGCAACAGCTATTTCAGGACACAAAAACATTCTCTGAAGCCTAGGCTTTAAAGGGAAGTACCTTAAAATCTTTGCTGGTGTTTTAGAGCTTGCACTAGTTGTGTCATCACCCTCATTGGACCATCTAAAAGATCCACACAAAAAGCAATTATCTTTATCTGCATTTTCATTTCAAAATAACATGCAATCATTACGGCATGCATGTATTTTTTCATAGCCGAGACCCAAATATTTTATTATTTTTTTAGCTTTATTGAAAGACTCGGGTAGTTGAGAAAAGGGAAATGCTTATTTTAACAATTCTAACAGATCAGTAAAAGCCACATCACTCAACCCATGTAGGTATTTAAGAAAGTATAATCGAATGATGAAACTCAACTTATTGAAGTTCTCACACCCCAGATATAACTCTTTTTTTCCTTCATCCAGTAATTTAAAAAATCTCGTTGCATCTTCAGATAGCCCTTCTCTCTCTCCTTCTCCATGACTTATTTCATCATGAAGTACCATCAATATCATCATGGTTGCATGAAAGTTGTGTATTTCGTGAGGAAACTCTCTCCCCGTGAAAAGTTCATTTGTTGTATCATCCACAAATTCATTTACAATCAAGTGATCCTTTCACAACATTTTTGTAATGCCAATAACGATTGATGCATTTTTTGCTAGGCATAATATTTCATTTCCTTTTGAAGCTCATTGAAATGTCTTATCAAGAAAATCATTCACTGCACTAATGTATTTATCACTGCATGGTCTCATACTCATCCAACTTCTATCTAAATTATCCATTGATATTTAGCTACACAAACAGATAAAAAGAATCAAATTTATGATAAACTATGAAACGAAAAGACAATAATGTTTTACACATGAACAAACATATCTCAAAATGTACATGGAGTATATGTAGATTAAAACTCATAGCAATCACAATTCAATTTACAACAAGCATTACATAGTTTTTCTTAATATATGAAACAAATATCAAAGTTCCCGTTATAATTAGAAATATATACAAAACACTGATCTACTTGACCTGTCAAGAAATAACTTTAACAAGTTTATCATGATTTCAAATTTTTTATGAACGACTTTTAGATGGACATTCAAGGAATGAAAAATAGTCGATGGACATACAAATCGCCAGGATTCAATTCTTTTTTAAAAAATATCCCTATTGATTTTCCTTTTGGTAAAAAATCAAGGCTGAACATTCCTTAAAAGTGATAAAGCAGAATTTTAACGCAAATAAAAGTTGATCTAGAATTTTCTGATGTTTCAGATTTTCATGTAAAAAAGTCTAACACCGACAGTGAAATTCAATTTTTCCCACTTTCATGCAAATTTACACTCTTGTTTCCTGTTGCTTTATGTAACTCTTTAACAATAATGAAATCGAAATTTCTCACATAGCTACTCAAGCGAGAGGTGAAATCAAAGAAGATATCATCAATGCAAGGGTAACCAAAATCGATTGGATGAATCATGGAACAACAAATCCAACATCAATATCAAGAGAAATAGATCTAGAATATCAATTTCACCTGAACTGCCAACAAAACTTTAAACCCACAATAGCTAAAACTTGATGGGGAAGTCCCACAATCAGAAAAAAAAATACATCAAATACACTAATTACAACTCAAAGATTAAAGGAAAAAGAAAAGATTCAAGAAGAAAACATTAACATCTCAAACTTGAAGTTTCTTCAGCTATAACCTCAAAGATGTTAGAACAGAACCTGCAGTTGTTGAAGAAAAAAGACATCAAGATTTCTCAGATTTCACAAGCAAACTTTCAGCCCTCCATTTTCTTCGATTTCACAAAAATTTCTAGAGAGAATAATAGCCAAACTCTGTGTCTGTCTCTATAATTATCCAATTCTGATAATTGAATCAATAAACCATGAAACGATATATGTATACAGAAAATAAAGATACATACAAAGAATTCATTTTTGAGAATTGTTACCAATATGCCTCTGTTAAATCAATGGTTAATTATTCAAATCATATTAAAACACAATAGAAACAGTAGTACTGCTCAAAAATTTCAACTTTGAATCCAATAAATTAGAGGTCCAAAGTTCAACTTGAAATTACAGACAAGAAGAACTTATCATAATATTACCCAGTAGCACATTTTAGTACCAATCAGTCACAAATTTTAGATTATTCTTTCATGTTAATTATCTTTTGTTTCTTGTTGCTCTAAATTAAATCGTCAACAATAATGCAAGTGAGTGGTGAAATCAATGAAGACGTCGTCAATACAATGGTATTCAAACCTAATTGAATAACTCATGGACAAGAAATACAACATCAATTTCAAATTAAATAGGTCTAGAGCAATCGATAACCCATAAATACAACAAAACATTAAACCCACAATAGCTACAATTTAATGAAAAAGAACCCAAAAATAGAGAAATACATCAAATACACTAACCACACCCAAATATTAAAGACAAAAGAAGAGATTCAAGAAGAAAACCTCAAGTTCAAACTTGTTGTTTCTTCAG